TTTAATTTGATTTACTTTTAAATATTCACGTGTAGTCTTTAGCCTGGCAAGACAAAGCATTTTACTTCCCCATATAAATATTTGAAATGCTTATGGAATATGTGCCCAATGTAGACCAGTCCACTTTAACTAAAAAAAGATAATACGAAGATCAATGTATGTTTTTGATGATAGTAGTTAATACGCCGGACGGAAACAAACATTCTTTTACAAACAAAATAACTTACACATAATTATATAATTATGTATACGGTTTAACAAAGGCTTCACCTGATACATGGGGTATTTTTTTAGAAAGATAAGCATGTGATAAGTTGTTTTAGATAACAAGAATTATGTTCCGTCTGCATTGATGTACACGTGACAAATGAGATACATTCTTATTAATTCATTTCATGATTTTCTTTAAAGATCCTGTATGTTGTATGAAAGGCTGTTATAACCCTTTAATAAAAATTTATATGCGAGTATGTTTTTAATTAATCTTCTAAATCAATTTTCGAACATCGAAGAATATGTTAAAATTTATGTACTGTATATATTTGTCCACATTATATGTACTCATCAAAATAAATGCATTAATTTCTTATTGAACAAATTAGTATACTTTATAGAAAATAAATTTCTAATTACCTCCCTTTATTGACATGAACTGTAAATTCGGTAATATTTTTACAAATAATGCTTTTCGGAACTTACAATATTTATTAATCTTCATTTGAACATTATATTTATGCTATAAAACCATAAAATTATTGTGTAACAGGTTCTTTAAGCTTTAGCCACCACGTGTTGACATAAATTTTCCAGTAATTGTGTCGGCAAGACGTGAGCCAGATATATATATAACTGTTAATATGGGCTTCGGTCATGAGTCCAGGCGGTGTTTTGCAAGTTTCGGTTGATGAAATCCAAGATGGGGTCCAAGATGCCGCCAAAATACGAAAATGCATTAAAAGAATATATGAAGCTGTTTAAAAAGGCAAAAATATAACCACTTGAGAGAAAATGGAAATTTTCATATTTTGGAGGCCAACTTGGCACAATGATTTAAGGCTATCACCCTTGATATTCTTGCTATTCAGATATTATATTAATGTACTCCGTCTGATTTGAAATTACGTTAACTGTATGTAATTAAAAGTGTTTCGTCGATGCACGTACCTATCGCATTCATAACTTTTCACTGTTTAGAAAATATAACACATGACACTTTAAAGGCTTATTCGACAGTTACATAGATATATAGACAGTTTGATAACTGTATATTATCATAGAGCTTCTAAGATCAAATACAATTGTTAAATATGGCAACTGTTAATAACACTGCATCTTTATAGTGCTGGAATCGAAATAATTTAACTAAATTACATACAGATATACATTATGCCAGGCTGAACATCCTTGCAGACGGTGCCGGCATTGTACTTATGGCTAACGAACTTTAGAAATTTCTATCTATCTTCATATTCCAAGATTGATAGAGGAAGCTTGAAAAGTGCATTTCACAACTTGCAGGTAAGAAATGGACAAACTGTTATTACGGAATTATATACAATTTGTCAATAGTTTAGAAATTGTATCATAACTGAGTGACTGTGTTAAACAAAGAGGTTCGGGTTCTATTTCCAACCAAAGGTTTATATAGGGTCATGTAACCTGTCAAACATCTTTTAACTAGCAATATAAACGTATATTTATCACATTCTTCTGCAGTAGGCCGAGAAATTATAGTTTTTTGTAGTGATTATTTCACAAATGTTTAATCACAGATGACGCAGATTAAACACATGCATCATATGAATAAAAGTTTGTTCGGTTTTACGGCGAAATAAAACAGTTTAGGTCATATGGTGCCGAAAAGGGAACAATGACTTTGGCTTACTTCGGCCGTTACAACTTCAAGCAACACTAGGGGTCAACTACACATCACTTTCTGGAGCTAAGAGATGCACAAACTCCAGATATTCAAACCATTTAAGCGCCTCTTACGATCAAGCAGAGATAAAATGTGGCTGCATTTCGATATCTCAATCCTTAACAGCAACCTGTCATTAACATGGGGGATATGTATCATAGAATATTAAAATAATAACAGATAAATAATTATACACACCGTCTTAAGTGGTATGTTCAAGATTACTATAAAGCATGTAAATATTTACACACAATTGTGAATCATATGTTTATGAAAAACCATCATGCATGCAGATGATATAATGGATATTTGACTGAGTGGACACCAGCTACAATATTTTCACGAGTGGCATAGCCACTAGTGAAAATGTAATAACTGGTGTTCACGAGTGAAATATATTTCAATCTTACATACAAAAACCAACAAATTTAAATTTTCCATTTACATGTATATGCTGTTTTGTGATTTTAAATCATGTTTATTTGTTTTGCCGCGTAACGTCATACGATCTTCTTAATAACGTCATCACATCATGACGACGCAGCATTAATATTAAAATTTAATTCTGTAAAATTTCTCGAATTTTGGTACAATTTTTAACACAATGTATACTTTTAGTTTTTTACTTGCTTCTCAAAGGTTTTATTTAAATTTCATTATGAAAAATATCAAATATAATTTCACTTTCCACTGCAAAGCATGTTATAAATATGTATGCTGTTTGTTTGTTGTTGTTTTTATTATTATTATTATTATCATTATCATTTCTTTTGTTGTTTTTGTTTTTCTTTTCGCATCAAGAGGTGGTTTAATTTTGTAAGATTTGCCACTCAAAAATGACTTATCTAGGGGGCGTGGACGGTAACTTGCACTTTCCAGTACCGTCCATGAACAGGCTCAATCAAACCGAGCCTGCAACATTTTCAATTTTGCCGTGTTGGGCTTTCTTTAGGGATTTCTGTATTTATCTATTTTATCTAGGTAATACGTGTATCGTTTGTAATGTAATAGAACAGCAATACGATAACAAATTCACGTAATACTATGTTGCTTACAAAATTCTTCTTCAATATTTCTCTTTTACTATTTTCTATAGCATATTAAAAGTTTTGATGATGTTTATAATTATAATCATTTTAATTTAACTGGATGTATATGTTAAAACGCAGCTGAATCATTTCATGTGGTTATAATTTATCACAACATTCAAGAAAAAAGACTACACTTACTGATGTTGAATAAAAAATATAATCTATATCAAAATCTTTTAAACTAGATGAAAATAAAATGAAATTGAAATATGGAAGTTTGAGTTGTATCCATTATCTGATCAAGAAGAAAACAACTTTAAAGAAAGGAAGGAAGTCTTCAATTAATGCTTCCGAGGGATCACTTTGTTTCCAGAATTTTGTACTTCACAACAGCAGGTGTCAAGTGCCGTGTGGCAGCTGTAAAAAGTTGCCCCGTACTTCACTTCAGTGTTTTTATATTTTCTGGTCCTTCGGGATCATTGATGCCAGCACTATTAAGTGTTGAGAATTGAGTACCGCTCAAGCCGGTGCTAGGGGGCGTGAGGGATGTTGCACTTATTCATTATCCCTCATGTACAGACTCAATCAAACCGAGTTTGCAATTCTTATGTAATTTTGTTGTGATTAATGCTTCCGAGGGATCACTTTGTTTCCAGATTTTTATACTTCACAACAGCAGGTGTCAAGTGCTGTGTGGCAGCTGTAAAAAGTTGCCCCGTACTTCACTTCAGTGTTGTTATATTTTATGGTCCTTCGGGATCATTGATGCCATCACTATTAAGTGTTGAGAATTGAGCACCGCTCAAGCCGGTGCTAGGGGGCGTGAGGGATGTTGCACTTATTCATTATCCCTCATGTACAGACTCAATCAAACCGAGTTTGCAATTCTTATGTAATTTTGTTGTGATTAATGCTTCCGAGGGATCACTTTGTTTCCAGAATTTTGTACTTCACAACAGCAGGTGTCAAGTGCCGTGTGGCAGCTGTAAAAAGTTGCCCCGTACTTCACTTCAGTGTTGTTATATTTTCTGGTCCTTCGGGATCATTGATGCCAGCACTATTAAGTGTTGAGAATTGAGTACCGCTCAAGCCGGTGCTAGGGGGCGTGAGGGATGTCGCACTTATTCATAATCTCTCATGAACAGACTCAATCAAACCGAGTCTGCAATTCTTATGTAATTTTGTTGTGATTAATGCTTCCGAGGGATCACTTTGTTTCCAGACTTTTGTACTTCACAACAGCAGGTGTCAAGTGCCGTGTGGTAGGTGTAAAAAGTTGCCCCGTACTTCACTTCAGTGTTTTTATATTTTCTGGGCCTTCGGGTTCATTGATGTCTGCACTATTAAGTGTTGAGAATTGAGTACCGCTCAAGCCGGTGCAAGGGGGCGTGAGGGATGTCGCACTTATTCATTATCTCTCATGTACAGACTCAATCAAACCGAGTCTGCAATTCTTATGTAATTTTGTTGTGATTAATGCTTCCGAGGGATCACTTTGTTTCAAGAATTTTCAATAAGATTTTGCGATAAAATCAAACAAGTATCCAGATTTATTCAGCAGAAGTAAACATGTCTTCGTTGTTTAATTAGAAACTTGTGTGTGGGTGCATGTGTGTGTGTGACAAACATGGAATGTGTTGATTTTAAGCAAATGTTTAGTTTATACTAATTTATTTTAATTCTCGAATCTGTTCCTGGAATCGTCCAGTGCTAAGCAATAAGTGTAAAGTTTCTTGCTAATGTGGAAACAATGGCTTTCAACGTGGTCAGCTTCCTTTAGATTACAATCTTCAGATTTCTAGTCCGACGCGTTAACCACTCGGCCATGCCACCACTCACACGAGGCGTTTAGTTACAAACTTATGTTTAAAGTGTGGTGTTTGCTAAAATTACCATTGGAATGTTTTTCATTTTTTCCTAAACATCATGAACAGCCCACGACAACGTTAATAAAAATATATCATTTTCGTTATATTCTCGTTTTTGTAGGCGTGGAAGTCACTTGATGCGATCTCACTCTTGAACAAGTGCATGCAACGATATTTCCACTGATGTAACAAGTAATATGTTGTTGAAATATTATTCCGTCGTAATATTGTGTCTTTCCGTCGTCAACGGAGAACCTGGAGAACTTAAATGTTTTTCGAGATTTGACTATGACGAGAAAATGTTAATGAAACAGTTAAGATTCGAAGACAAAGTTCAGAAATTCGAGGAATTTATTAACGGAGCGAGAAGCCAAGGAAAAAGAGCAACGCCATTAATTGTTTGCTGCAGAGTTTAAAGAGTTTATGAATGAAGTTAAGACGACTGAAGAAAAAGAACATGAGGAACGCGGTAAATTCTTTGCCGCAGAATAAAAAAAAGTTAAAAACATTCAGGAGTTTATTAACAAAATAAAGGCGGGAGAAGAAAATGAAACAGAGGAATGCTCTAGTTGGAAAAATACAAACAAGAGTATGCTGACGAAATTGAACGACAGAAAAATGTGACATCAGAAATGCTCGAAAATATGGCCAATTCTAGGATGGAGTTTGAAAAAGTTCATGAACAGATGAATGAGAGAATGAAAGGTAAGATAATTATGATAAACAAGATCAACAAGGAAAGGCGGCGTTCAATAAACGCAACCCACTGACTTTTATAGCAAATATTTCAGAAATGCATGTTATATTATTCTTGTTATTGTAATTAAGTGATATTGCCCCTTAATATAAATGATCTTGCGTAGAAAATTCATCTAAAAGAAATGATAAAACAAAAAACATTTTTAATTGAATTTATCTAAAATAAAACATTATATAAACGTCAACAATAGTCTGAAGCAGATTTAATGTTTGCATTTGGGAGATTAGCCATTAGTTTGTTAAAAAAGCTGACAGGACGTAATATTTTCTGTTGTTGTGTTTGTAAGTTTGTCAATTGCAACAGAAAGCTGGGATTGTAAGTACATAACGAAAAACATGTCTCAATATGTTAAAAATAACAAGCAGTAAACAGTTTTCAAGGCTTCTCGGCAAACAACTTACCGCGTCACAATCAAAAGATCAAAGACCTCGTATAAAAGTCTGTAATCATACACCTGGAATAAATGCATTACATTTTCAACATAAAAAATATATTTCTCACAACAAACAATCAAATCAACATTCCAACTTTCAGTTTTCTTTTTTCACGGCTGTTTTTATCGCAAGACAATATTATAAAAACAGCCAAAATGTCTGTACTTTAAACATTAAGGCCGATGCATGTATTATATTCTACATTGACTTTGTCTTCTCAAACACCATACACCATGCATTTCATTTTCAACATAAATCAGCTAAAAATAACATTAAACGCGGTATCCTTATCTTAACCCCTATGAATTGATGAATCGATTGTAGAGTCAATTCCTTGAAATATATACATATTCAAACCCAACAGGCAAATTCGAAATTAGTCAAAAGAAACTGTATAATGCTTCTTATATGGAGGGCGTTCATTGCCAAAATTCCAGACATGTTCCCTGGAATATGCAAACTTTTATGCCTATCATATTTATTGTATCCGTTAAAATTAAAGGTTCCCGCCTTTATATAACAAGTACTCATATAGATTGTAACAACTTATATTACATGGAAAACAACAACAAATTCACAAGTGCAAGCAATACATATGCAAGTTTGCACACTTATAGATATCTTTCTGTACCTGAGATATACAAATGTAACGTAAAACGGCGAGTACAGAAAAATATAGTTTAAGAACGTGTTTCAGTCTGTACGTTTACACAGTTACATGTTTAATATGACAAAAGAAGATTGACAAAATTAAACGATTTTAAGTCATCCAAGACGCCCGCCCCTCCTTGAGTATTTACAAACTTCTATTACGGATAGGTATAAAACCCGGCGACTCTCCCCTATTTCTAAATACATTTGAAGGGAACTACTTAACATATTTTTGTTGCATTTGTTACAAAACTTTTACTTGCTACATCACTTGAAAATTGCTGATTTTGCCATTTATTTTATACAAAATGATTTAGATAACTTATGCACTATTTTTTTACATTGTGTTTTTCTGAGAAACATCGGCGATTTGGATTTTTTAGGGGAAAAATGACCCACTTCAAGCGAGTAATTTTATAAATAATCTAACAACCAGCCAATATTTGTATTGGTAACATCTAAAATTGTATTGGCACAAATTTCATTTAAAAATATGCGAGTATTTAAAAAAATAGGATTTTAAGGCGGGCAAGGAAATCTTTTTCCGTAATTAAGAAAGTACTTATCCGTAACACATATGTGAAATTTTTAATAAGGTGTTTTCAGTATAAATAAATAAACTTTTAATAAACTTGAATCTTATTTTCTTAACTTTCATCCTATATTCATTTTCTTTTTTGATTTATTAGTCCCCTACCGGTTTAACCGGAGGGGACTTTAGGTTTACCCTCCGTCCGTCCGTCTGTCCGTCTGTCTGTCTGTCCGCTCTCACTGAAATGACGATGTGGGGTGAATATCCATGTTCAATCCGTCTAGACGGTACTTGTGAGGAAAAGGTTGCTTATGGGGTGCAAATACGTTGCTTATGGGGTTTTAGAGATCAAAGGAGATCAAAGAAAAAACCCCATAATGTCAACTCAGTAGGAACGTCCGTCTGTCTGTCAGTCCGTCAGTCCGTCCGTCCACAATACTGGATACCGCGATAACGCAAAAAGTACTGATAATATTTTTATGAAACTTAATATATGGATAGATGGCAGTATGGACATTATGCACGTCTTTTATTTTTCTTCCTATGTTGAAAATTCTGGTTGCTATGGCAACAAATAGTCTGAAAATATGGCAAATTTAACACATAAACTGGATCCAGTAATAACTCAAAAAGTACTGAAACTATTTTTATGAAACTTAAGATATGGGTAGATGGCAGTCTGGAGATTATGCACATCTTTTTCTGTTCTTCCTAATGTTGAAAATTCTGGTTGCTATGGCAACAAATAGCCTGAATTTCAAGATTTCTGATTTAAATTTTTCAGCTTTTTCACTATATGTTCTTTATTTCTTAAGGTGTTTACTTCAAACTTTAAATATAAGTTTCTAATTATCAACCACATCATATGTGACAAGGTTTACAACTCTAGCACAAAAATTATCTGTATTACCTCCCTTGAACTTAGAATTTTTATGAAAAAAAAATGTTGTCTTTTTTTAATAACTTCTTTATTTCTTAATGTATCTGCTTCAAACTTCATATATATGTTTCTTATTATCACTCAACATTTTTGAGAAGGTAAAATACTCTAGCAAGACTATTTCCAGAATTATCTCCCCCTTAAACTTAGATTTTTTCGAGAAATTGGTATTTTTCACTCCAACTTCTTCATTCCTTATAGGATTTACAATAAAATCCCACATCGTAATAATATGACAAGGTTGTATAAACATAATTTCCCTACTAGGTAGGGAAACTTAACACATTACTGTGATATAGACAAACTTAGAACTCAAAAGATTTAAGTTCATTCATGTCATTCATTCACTGGTAAAATTTAATAGCCATTGGCCAATCAGAATGTTGCTGGGGTTCTTACCGGTAGGGGACTTCTGGATTGCTTGCAATACTATGGTAATTGCTTGTTTATAAAGTACCTCAAGGGGACGCCGTTATTTCTTTGCCGAATATATGAGAGTGATTTTAAGAAACAGAAAAAATAAACATTATTAAGTCTGAAACAAAATGTTTAATACTTCTACTTAATTATTATTTACTTAATTAGGAAACTACCCGCCTATATGACTGAAATACTGTTGGGGAAAAGGCGTAAAATGAAACAAAAAAACAAACAAACAAACAATAATTATGTGTTTTACTTCTTAAGGCACCACTAGAATGTTCACGAAGGGTTTTTCATATTACACTAAAAATTTTAAAATGCTCAAGAAATAAAAACGTTAGTAGGGGGCGCCGTGTTTTTCTTACTGAATTTCAGAGTGTAGTTTTCAGAAGGTAACATGATGAACTTTGAAAAAAAATACTTCTCCTAAATTCATTTTTATTTGTAATGCATTGTAGTATTATAGACTATACAACTTAAGAAGCACGCTTTTATTTCAATCCAAATTTATCAAAATTAATTAAGAAAAAAAATGTTTGGGACGCCGTGTTTTTCTTACAAAATTTGAGTGTGATTTTCAGAGAAAAAATGATAAATTTTGAAATAAAAAATGTAATACAGCTATTTAATTCTGAATTTCATTTTTATTTCTAGGGCATTAATAAAAAGCTTTATGAAGTAATCTTTCCTTTGATACCAAATAATTTAAATAAAAAAATAAAAAAGATGGGGCGCCGTGCTTTTCCTCACTTTATTGAAGAAATGGAATAGGCGCCGGGTTTTATATTTTTCGGTACATTTCCGCAGCAGAAGTTCGTAAATACTCAAAGAGAGGCGGGGCGTCGTGCACGACTTCAAATCGTTTAACATTGTGAATCTCCTTTTGTCAAATTAAACATGTTAATGCGTTAACGTACTCTTGTAGTTCTACAACTGGAAACACGTTTTCTTAAACTTTATTTTCTGTATTCGAGTTTAACAGTTCATTTAAATATCAAAGCTATAATTAAGCAAACTTGCTTATGTATCATATACAATGGAAGAAACGAGTTTCTAAATGTGTTGTTGTTTTTAATGTTATGTCTATTGTTAAGATCTATATGTAAACTTGTTATTTAAAAGCTGTTGCCTTCAATGAAAAGATTGAATTAAGAGGCATTCTATTTGCTGTGCACGAACATATTCAAAAATGCTAGACATAAATGTTCGCATTTTCACAGGTAGTTTAAAACAGGAACACTTTACATGTCTGGAATATTGACAACGGACGCCTTCCATACCTCTTGAGTCTGCTTACAAATGCGGATTTTATCTAAATTATCATAAATAATTTATTTACTAGTATTATAACGGTACCTATATCGTGTGACATTTCATCCAAAAGACAGCTGCTGTTTTTTTCTCTCATATGGAATGAAGTTTAGAGTCCGCTTATTCTAGTAATTAAACCCTACATAGAATTAAACTTCTGGAAAAATAAATATTCTTCCGTAAAGTGAAATCGTAAGAATTTCTGAACGTCATGCATTCGCTTACACTTTACTAAGATATTACTTATTTTTCCCCTCGCAAACACTTTGTTTAAGAGAAGAATTTACTACCTGAACAGCATTTTAATTAGTTTTCAGTCATACGCTGATCACTAAAAATGTAGAAACAAAGTGATCCCTCGGAAGCATTAATCACAACAAAATTACATGACTATTGCAGACCCGGTTTGATTGAGTCTGTACATGAGAGATAATGATTAAGTGCGACATCCCTCACGCCCCGTAGCACCGGCTTGAGCGGTACTCAATTCTCAACACTTAATAGTGCTGGCATAAATGATCCCGAAGGACCATTATCACGTGGCATAGACATCGTGATAATTTTGACGAAAGAAATATTTGAGATAGTATAACCTTTAAACTATAAACTGAGTACATGTAGTTACATCAGTACCTACCTTGATGTCAAATGTTATGCCTTTCGTTTTTGAACTACTGCATTTACATAATTATATTTCTCAAATGAAGCTTTAAAATAATGTATGTCATAAGAAAACATTCATCTAAATGTACCTTTTCATCAGTTTTAAAAACTTTTAATCTAACAATCCTGTCGTGTTTTTGGGGAAAGTTGTGGCTTTCACAGTGACCTCACCTAAGGCGGGTACCGGTGTTTCATCAACATCTCTGTCTTTTACAACAGAAATAACAAACGAAGGGAACGCGTTTGATACATCAACTGGCAAATTTACATGTCCTGTTAGCGGGCTCTACCACTTTTCTTTACACATTATCAAAAAGCGGTCATCTAGTGTCGACACTGTCGGATGTTTCATTAATCTGAACGGATCAGGCAAAGTGCCAGCTTACATAAATACACAGGATGGGGCAGCATCGACGTCGGTGTATTTAAATCTAAAGGCTGGAGATGTAGTGACAATAACTAATTGCAATAATCCAATATTCAATCGTTTGGACTTATCAAATTCATTCAGTGGTCATTAAAAAAGACATGGTTAATAACTTACTAGTATACGTAATAACTAGTATTCGTACTTTCTTGAATTTGTCTCGCAATAATAAAGTTTTAAATAATAAACAAATGTTATCAGATTATTTTGAAGATTCTGACAATAATCATATGTTCATTCTTAGATACAGGGTTAGATTTTTTTTATTCTTTAAAACTTTAAAGTCGCGATTTTCATAAGGAATGTATATTGTATTAACTTTCTCGAATATTGGATATGATAGAACATAGTTATTAAAATATCATTTATAAAAAGAATGGTTTCGTTTGTTTTGGATAATAAACTGATAAATAACAATGGTACTAGCATAAAACTAATGTATGTTGGCTTTAAATAGCAGATAAAACATAACAAGAACTACGTTGGCTGTAAAAAGCGGATAAAATATTAAACAAACTTATGTTGGCTGTGAAAAGTAGATACAATATATAACGAATTCATGTTAACTGTAATAAGCAGATAAAACATGAAACAAAATTATGAGAGTTGTAAAGAATGGAGGAAATCCCAATGGAAATTAATTTCTTGATTTTAGAAAGGTGAAACAACTGTCCCCATCACCTATTCAACCCTCTTGTCGGTTGTCCTATGTTGCCAAGTAATTTTTGGGATGAGTACATTAAAAGCCGTCTGTTCACAAATGCCCTGAAAGTGAGTATAGTATTACCTGGAATGATAATTCGCGTGAAATATTTATATACTTGTAATGCCATCCTAGGCATATTGACTAATGGAATAAAAGAATAAACTACATAACTACTACCCCGCCAAGAGATACATAATTATGTGAAAGATAAATGGCATTTTAACCGGTTACGCTGATTTTTCATAATTATCTTGAAAATGTAGCCTTAACATATGAATGAAAATGTTAAGTACAAGTATTCGCATGTTTTATTTTTATGTATAAAGCTACATTAAACGTTACGATAAAATATGTACAGGTCAGACACTCGCATTAATTTTACATATACTTACATTATAAGAAATGACCCATAAACGGACCTTAAAAATGAGTTTTCATCATAGAGAAATGATTTTTCTAGGAGAATGACATGCTTGACATATAAAACTCATCCCGTTATAAAGGGGTAGCCATCTGATCTTTTTTTGCAAATTGACTATAAAGAGGATTACTATCCCCGACCCCACCCCCAATTTTCACTGTAATTCACTGCTGATCACAAAACTGACAAAAAAAAAAAAAAAACAACAGAACTGACATATACGTTTTTAAAGTGTAAATATCAGAGTTTTCAGAAAACAGTGTACTGTTTGATTCTTAAATAATTTTTATAGCCAATCGCTGGCCATGTAACAATGCGAGAGCCTGACCTACATATATATTCAAGTTACACATAGGATCATTTTGCAGATATCTTAAGATATTTACAACAATTGAGCTGACAATAGCGTGATATTATACATGCGGCATATTAAATCTTTTCAGATTTCCCTGTGGCAATTTACTTACATTCATCTATAATATAATATAATATAATATAATGGCACGTTACTGTTGCATGTGCTTAACGTTATTTAAAGTTCGATTACTTCCCCTTTATATTTCCAATTTTAAATGCAGTACAAGTACGAAGAAAACTTCAAGCGGAGATGAAAAAATTCAGTGATGGTTGTTTATTTATTTTCATTTTTTAAAGTTTATTTTCGTTCCGACAAACTGCAATTGCATAATTATATACATTTTTTTAAATATCTTAACCTGAAAAAAATGTGTCAACCATTTGTGCTACTTCTCATGTATAATAAGCATAACTTACAATGCAGTAGAGCGTTTAAACTACCAGACACTGCAGGCATTTGATACATGTCCTTCAGTTGCTGCACTGCGTGTAGTTAAAGAAGTAGCTATATTATATATAAAATACTTATATAATATAAGCTTCATTCATTTTACAATTAGCATAAGAGGAAAGTTTATTTTATGCTTTCCAGTGTTTTATTGTAATATATCAGATGATTATATTCTGATAAACCACTAGTGAAATTTATAAAATATAATTTTCACTGTAGCCGAACTATATCTGAATGCGGATGAAAAGAAAATCATAACTAAATGGAATAACAGGCAGAAATAAATGCCGCCATGCGTAAATTTTGCTTCTTTAGCAAAAGAAAGTCGACGTCACCATACATCATGTTAAAAATGTTACAAAATAACAGAAATTTAACAGAACTATATTTCAAAATTGATGATGTGACGTCAGATGTGATGACGTCACAAAGGAGAATGCGCGACATTACGCGGCAAAATCAGTAAAAAATACATAAAATCACTTTAAAAGCATGAAATAAAAAGAAAATTTATTTGTTTTACATATAAGATTGAAATATATTTCATTCGTGAACACCAGCTATTATATTTTCACTCGTGGCTACGCCACTCGTGAAAATATTGCATCTGGTGTTCACTCAGTGAAATTATATTTCAATCTTACATGCAAAACAAACAAATATCCTCTATAAATTAAACAAAAAATGGTTGCGATCGATTTTACTATGCGAAAATATGATATGACTAAATTGTATATTCTTAAAGGCACAGTATGCCACAGATATTCATAGTTTTAATTGTTTAGCAATGCCAAGCATGTGTTAAATTATGTTTTAATTAAGGATTTTGTGTATGTATGAAAATAGTAGCGCTAAACGAGAAGTGGTGTGTCATAAATGTAGCAAAATGTAAACTAATTATTATATTGACTTCAACACAAAATACATATGATTATACCAATTGCGAGCATAACGAAGGAAGCAATATGTGGCAAATGAATATTATTTCAAAACTGTAACAAGACACCAAAAGCGTTTTGAGAAATAAAAATAATTGGCCTTTAAAAATGTAATAATATTGAACTTCACATACAAGTTGTGTTTCTGAATATCAAATAGTGCATTATAAATTAAATGCGCATGCAATGAAATTGATACATTCAGAATGACTTGTTAAGTCAGTGAGAGCCTCACTACCGATAATGCGTTTGACCCCTGGTGTTGCTTTGAAGTTTGTAACACCCGAAGTAAGCCAAAATCATCTTTTCTGTTTCGGCGACTCTTGACCTGTGCACTGTATAATTTATTATTTTATTATAGTCTGATCTATACATACATATACAATTAAAACAATATACATACAGTAAATTGTATAGTCATTCTTTAAGAATTATAACGCACTGTTATAATTTATTAGAGGGGCAACTCCACAGTCCATATTAAAGAGATCTATAATATCTACTGTAGATTTACCTCCCTTATTTACATAATTATACACATTTACATGTCAATATAATCACACCATAATTAATATCTCTGAGACAATAACAAGTAAAAACAGCATATTCCAAGCATTGAATGTTATACTTAAAATAATTAAATTGTACTAATATTTATACCTACAACATAACTGTATGAGTAATTACATTAGGGTTGTTAATATTAAAATGGAAGAATGAAATCTCATTACTGTACTAAACCATTAATAGTTGTCTCCTTATAAATGTACTAAAACCATCTATACATACTTATTATATTTTGTCTTTATACATTCTAAAAGTTTGACAACAACCGCTGACCACAACTTAAAACTGGTTCATGTAATAATATTTGATGTCACAGGCATATTAGGGGGCGGCAGGGCATGTCCCCTCAGAAAATTTTAAAATACTGCACTGCATTTCTTGAATTTTGAGCACTGGCTTTTGGTGTCTTTCACTGAGTGTTCAAGTAGTATTTTTTCACATTATTGTTATACAAATAAAAGAAAGAAGTTAGATAATAACTGTTAGTATTTTTGGATCATTAATTACCAAAAAAAAAAACCAATAAATCCAAATTATCAGAATTTTTTATCTAGCTTTGACTTACTTTTTAATATACCTTTTACGTTTAATCATTAAATCTATTTTTTAAATAAAAGATCGCTGAATTGAAGCAAGCGTTCGCTACATTTTGATTTTTTGACAATCTGTGTCTTAAATGCAAACAAATTGAATGGTGATGTTGCACATCAAAGACGCCGAACAATCAACGGTTATGTTGACAATTGCTCCCTATTTCAGTTGAATATTCAAAGCACTAATCTTTTTTTTTTTCTTTTTTTTTTGTGCTCGTTATTTAGAAAATCGCATAGGATTGTCAAAAAGAAGACCATATATATACTAAATTTTTAATGCATATATTCAAAAATTAATGCCATGTCTGAAAATCTGAAATATTTGTTTGTTGCGACAAATATTGAAAGATCTGGTCGAAGCAAAATAAATTGAATAACAATTAAAACGGAAATGATTGGTATACTTAAAATAAATTCATGACATCCATTTTGTCGGCATATATAATCCTACATAACATTAAAAAATAAAGCAATGTTCGTATTGAATTTTAGAACAAACTTCTATTGTGATATTACATGTATATTCAATTTTTAGAATAAATTTTAGCCATTCACGTAAACGACAAAAATGTAGATATGAAAATAAATTGCAATTATTGTAGTAAATATTTTTTGGATTTTGTCCTTTATTAAGTGCCATTTAAAGTAGGTATTCATTTGACCAAATCTTTTAATTTAAGTCTCTTTTTTCTTCTTCTTTTTACCAAATAAATCAATATAATCACTATTGTACTCCAGCTAGCCTTGTTTTCTTGTTAGAGCCCAAATAATATATCTTAAATAACAAGTAAATACGCAATGTAGCCTCATTTTAACTTTCAGAGTCCTAACAATCCATATAAAATAACGATTTCATACCTTTTAAGCTTTGTTTTTATTTCCAGAGTCCAAATAAAAGCTGTATTGTATTCAACAATATATAACATTCTTATAGTAAAATATACGTTAACTGTACATACAATGCATTACTAAAGATTGAATCAACTAGGTCCGTCATATAAAATTAACGCAAACAAAAACTTGAAATTTCCTAACTTTGTAAATAATAAATGGATTCCGAAAAAAATTGACAGAAATCAAATAATTAACCATGGCATAGAATGAATATTATGTTTCTAGAAGATACAAGTGAACGTAGCCAAAAAATTGTAATTAAACTTTTTATGATATTGAAACGCTGGACAGATCTTTATCACAGCGATGATTTAAACATACTTTCGACACGAATAAATATAAATATTGTAAATTTTAAGTGGGAAATAGACAAAACAATCTGTAACTAAGCCGTGACATGACATTTCCAACAAAGTGGTCAAATGACGTTATCGTAGAAACGTTACGTCAAAGTTGACACCACTTTTTTATATACGACGCGCGCTTTGACAGTGCGCACATCAGTAGTATGTAAGCAAATAACAATCTGTTACTGCACTAAAATAATAAAATTGTTCAACATAATGATGTCGGTTTTTCGCAGTTTAAAGGTATGGTTAGAAATGACCCATTTTTTATACAAACTGCGTTGATACACTTGTTCAAGTAACCTTTAACCACCGACAAAACACTGAATCGTGATCTTAAGTACCAAGAAAGACAATATCAAGGAAGATAAATTCAAACGACACTTGACATAGTGTCCTTGCAGCGAAAACACTTTCAGGACTCCTTAACCATAGTAATCAAACAATCATAACATGTATTCATTTGATTGTGTTTTTTTTTTATTTCAAGTGTCACTTGTTAACACTTGAAAAGTATATTATGTACAAGTCTCAAATAAAATGTCTGTTCTGTTCTGTTCTGTCAAGATGTTTCCCAAGTATTTCTCCTAATTGTAACATGTCGTGGCTGATATGTATAAAAATTGGAACACTTTGATGTAATTAGAACAAGGAAAATACCACATCACATGGATATCAATGTTTTATATAACAGACACTCCAAACAAAAGTTTATAATTGAATGGCAATTGCTGAGTGTAGTGGATGTGTGCGTAAGACGCTTGAAGTTGTTGAAGTTGTTGAAATCCCGTCCTGTGTTATATTAAATTAATAAGGGGAAAACAAAATGTCCTTGAAAATTACATCATTAAACATTTTTACGGCGCGATTTTGTTTGAAAAATCTGATAAATAAAAAACAACTTTGTGTTGAAAATTTCTTAAAATTATCTAGAATGATCGTCAAGTGTCGGAGGAAATAACAACGGTATTATTGTGAAATATATCACGTTTCCGGTCTTCTTTGTTTATATATTAAAGAGTAATCTCCTATAGTGTAAGGGCCACAAGTTCAGAGCTGTAATATTAGCCACTCATTCACTGACTTATTTAGCTGTACACACAAACATTGTTATGATATTGTTATAACATCAATATAATAACAAAAATCAAAAATGTAACATACACACATGTTCTCAAATATTTCTCTTAATTTGCTTTTTAAACACATTCAAAGTGCTGAGGAGTTTAAGCCTTACTTCATGCAACCGGATGAAAGGAAATTCATAACTATAATGTCCGGTTTCGTTATTTCAGTACAACCGGATGTAGCTTATTCTTCTCATGTCGATAATCATTTATCACGAAATTCATGGAATAACGACCCTTATGTCCGGGTTTCGAAGAAAATGAAATTTAAAGCTTTATTGAATCAAAAACGGATGGCATTTATATTAAAAAAACGTAGGCATGGTTTCACTAGATAAACATAAGAATGAAACATAAATAAAGAGGGTTGATGAAAAAAGTAATGGTATGTTTGAGTTATATCCATTTGATTACCTCAGTCTATCATCTGATCAAAAGATCAAACTTTAAAGAAGGGAAGGAAGGGAATTCTTAAATAAATTTCCGTGGTAAAATCAAACAAATATCCAGGTTTTATTAATTAGAATCATGCATTTCTTTTTTGTTTCATTAGAAACATGTGTAATATGTGTGCGTACGCTTGTGTGTGCGTGTTTTGCGTGTGTGCGTGCGTGCGTGTGTGTGTGCGTCCGTATGTCAAATATGGAAGGTGTTAAATTCAAGCATGGTTTAGTTCATGCCAATATGTTTTATTGTGTTGAAAGCTAAAAGGTTATATAAACACACGAATCCGTTCCTGGAACCAACTAAAACTAAGCAATAAGTGTAAAGTGTGCAAATCACTCACGTGATTTGAACCCACGTGGCCAGCAATCCTCAGATATCTAGTCCGACGCGTTAACCACTCAGCCATGCCGCCGCTCACATGAAGTGTATGGTTACAAATTTATATGTGAGGTTTAAAGAGTGATGTTTGCTAAAAGCCTTTAAAATCTTTCAAACTTCTCTTAAACAGCAGATTTCTAGTTCGACGTGTTAACCACTCGGCCATGCTGCCACTCAACACAAGCGTACAAATACAACTTCATGTCAAGGTTTATAAAGTGACGTTTGCTCAAAACATTTGAATCTTTTCATTTTCTCCTGAACATCATGAACAACCCACCACACAATCTTAAGGAAAAACATTTTATTCTCGTTATTTTCTCGTAATTATATTAGCGAGCAAATACAAGGTTAGCAGTCACTTGATGCAATATTACTCTTGAAATAAGTGTATGCAAATATTTCACAACTGGTGTAACAAGTTAACATGTTGTTGAAATATTATTCCGTCGTGATACTGTGTCTTTCCGTTGTCAACGGAGAAGCTGGTGAACCTAAATGTTTTTCGAGGTTTGACTATGACGAGAAAATGTTAATGAAACAATTAAGATTTGAAGACAAAGTTCAGAAATTCGAGGATTTTATTAACGGAGTTAAGGCGCGAGAAGCCAAGGAAAAGGAGGAACGTGATGAATTATTTGCCGCAGAATTAGAGAAAGTTAAAAAAGAACTGAAGTTGAAAGAAGAAAAGGAAAGAGAAGAACGCTCTAAGTTGTTTGCCGCAGAGTTACACAATTTAGAAAAATATAAACAAGAGAATGCGGAAGAAGTTGAACGACAGAAAAATGTTACGTCAGAAATGCTCGAAAGTGTGAAGAATTCTAAGACGGAGTTTGAAAACGTCCATCAACAAATAAACGAGAAAATGAAAGGTCAGTTTCACATAAAGTATTACAGAAATGCATATCACATAATTATTGTTACTGTAAATACATGTAAGTAAAATGGTCGTGTAGCTTAGCAAATCCTACTAAAACAAATGCTGGAAAAATAACATTTTTATATTCAATTTATCTTTACTTATTCTTGTTATTGCAAATAAGTAATATTGTCTTAATACAAATGGTCTAGCTTAGCAAATTCTACTAAGGCAATTGCTGCAAAAATAACATTTTTATATTAAATCTATCTTTTATAAAAGATATATAAACGTCAACAATATTCTGAAGAATAATGTTTAAACCTGGAAAAAACGCATTAATTTATTGTACGAGCTAAAATTGTGCAATATCTTCTGTTGCTTTTTTGTATATAAGTAATTTTAATTGCCAAAGAAAGGTAGAATTGTAAATAATTAACACGCCTTATATGTTTCTGTATGTTATACATGAGGTAGCAGTATACAGTTTTCCGAACTTCTCGACAAACAAATGACATCAGCACAATCAAAACCTCGCATACAATAGAAAAAAAACAGAATCCCTAAAGAAAGCATAAAACGACCAAATTGAAAATATTGCAGGCTCGGTTTGATTGAGCCTGTTCATGAGCAGCACTGAGAAATGCAAGTTTTCGTCCCTGCCCACCTAGCACAGGCTTAAGCAAAATTCAACATTTAAACATGAAAAATATGTCTGTAGTCTGTTATCACACACCGGAAATCAATGCATGTTTGACAAGATTCAGATTAAAAAAAGAATTTTGTGTTTGGT